GCAATAACTAGCCTGAGATCTTTAGAAACTATATTGTTTCTCCTCCAACTTTTCAGGAATGATCTCTTCACAACTCGGTAAAAAAATTGAACAGAAAGGACCATAGTTTTTGTTGCAATAAATATTCATAAAGGACAAAGGAAGAATTGTCTATTTTTTGCTCAGTCTCACAATGAAGTGCTTGACTCACCACTAACTCACTAAATTGGTCTTGAATATATTCGATGTGCTAGCACCATGTTCAGTTGTGGGATTTCTGCTGCAGGAAGGGAAAGGACCAATAGCAGTAAGCATCACCTGAGGAACTGTGTTCTCTGCAGGCGTCAGTCAGACCCACGTGATGCCTGAAGGTCTGAAGCACACTGGGAATGAGGAGATACGGTATTCATAGCATTGCCACCCTGAGCAGCCATGTAACAACAGAATCACAGAGTGTTAGGTTAGAAGAGATGTCTGGAGGTCATCTGGTCCAACGTCTGCCCAAGCAGGGCCACCTGGGGCAGATTACGCAGGACTATGTCCAGGTGGCTCTTAAATGTTTCTAAAGAGGGAGACTCCGCAACCTCTCTGGGCAATGTATCCCAGACAAAGTGGAGTTGACAGTTAATATCCCAGGGATTCTGTGTCAGAATAGCAATTAAATATCAAGTCCATCACAACTCTGCTTTGGTTTTCAAGGGAAAACTGTATCCTCAGTTATCTGGCTGAAGGTGTTCTGTGGCAGAGAGCATTCCTCTCCTTTGTGTGCACAGTGATATTCCCAGAGTTTGTAATAGCGAGTAAAAGTACAAACTTTGGGGTTGCCCTAACAGAAAATAGAATTTGTGTGGTGCTACTACTTGTAACAGAATCTGGATTAACTATCTGCGTGCAAAGAAATAATATTCCATTGTTCCATTCTTATCTGAGCATTGTAGCCTATTAAACAAAACTATAAATAGTCATCAAGAAAAACAGACATAAGTTAGATGTTAAATAGTTCCAAAAATAAAGAAGAATGTTTCTGATTAATTTTCTTTGTCAAATATTACCCTAAATGGTATTGAAATTTGTCTCTTAATCAAAGAAGTCTAAAATGTGTGCAATTACACTTTAAAAAATTAGAACACAGTTTGCCTAGAAGATAAATAATTATGGTTCAATTTTATAAATGTATCTCCAATTGTTAGAACATACTTTAAATGGGAGCAAGTATGTACCAATTAATTATAACTTAGAAGATTATTCTTAGTTCATTGTAGAGCCTTATTATTTGCTGTTGAAAAAAAATCCCTGTAAAGGCACAGCACGATTTTAATTAATTTTTTTCTAGCTGTTTAAATTTTCACTTTTTTCCCAAAGTATTTAATTTTTAAACATGAGCTCTGCTAGCCACATATTTCATTCTCAGACTCATATCTGTTAAGCAAGAAAAATAAAGTTAAGTAAATTGAATCAGTGTTCAAATAAAAGCCATTTAAAGTGATGCTTTCAAAAGTTAATCTTTATTTTTATTCTTCTGAAGCATCCATCAATCATGTTAGTTCTTTAAAAATGAAAGCATCCTTGAAGGCCCAGATTAGGTTTAATGTAACAAGGGGATACATTCTGCAGTGTTATTTCCTAAGCAGTATTGAAACAATAGTTAATTTTATCCACTTGATTCAGTTAAAACAGTGGGCTAACGTTCCATGTGCTGATCCAATGGCTTGGAACTGCAATTTTGGAAAAACATTTTCCATTAAGCTATATAATTTAAAAAGACTATAGACTAGGGAGGTTTCGCACGTTTAGATAATGATGAAATACTGGCCCATAATGATTTCAGAGGAGAAAGAGCAAAAATCTCTACAAATGGAGAAAATTCAATTAGAAGGCTCTCTGTTGAGGCAATAGTTAAAGAGAAATTACTTCGGGGACATTCACATTTTCATAAACAATTTTCATTTCCACAAAAAAGAACTCACTGTCTACGGTTCTGATTACAGAACTCTCAGAGGAGTAATTTGTAGCTTTTCGTAGTTGTAAGTTTCATAATTTCTAAAGATAGCACTTTTAAAATCAATATTTGTTTTTTGATATCATGGCTTGTGGGGGGTTGATTTTTTTTTTAATTTTTTTTTTTTTTTTTGTACTGTCCTAGTGACTTATTCACGGAGACCTAAAATTTTCCCTGGAGTGACTGCAGAGCTGAGAATATGATGACCAAATTCAGTTGCAGTCACAGTAGAGTTTTTTTAGCGTGAAGCCTGGAGACCAGATTGCAAGCGTGGAATCAGAGCCATCACTTGTCTAAGTCCTTCCTCCTTCTCAGAGTGTGCAACTGAGCATATGTTCCCTGACTTTAATCCCTTCAGACATAAGGGGCATCCCTTAATATGGCCTTGCTGGAAAAGCCTGTGGAGTTGATATGTTTGTTGCAAATTGAAAAAATATAAACCTCATGAGTGAAGAATGCCAACTTTTCTGGGGTTCAAAGCATCTGCTTTGAGTTACCTTTGTTGCTGACTGTACCCAAAAACAGAGTGACCCTCCAGCATACAGTCCCTTCAGCATACACTTCCTCCCTACCTGAATTAATGACACAATCAGCCTAAAAAGAATTGCCTTTTCCAGGTGCCTAATGGTTCCTTAGAGTATCTGTTGGCTAAATTGCATCTCTTGCAGCAAATGAAAGTATTTCTTCTGGCAAAGCTCAGCAAAAACTACATGTGCTTTTAAAAAATAATTTAGTGTTTGTGTGTCAAGATATAAAGCCCTTCTGGCAGTGAAGTAAGGATTGGCTGGGTTCAGTTGTTCTTCATATAGGATACCACCTGTTAAGAGTTGGGACAACCAGTTGTTGGTGCCCTACTTTCTTTAATTTATCATTTACTCTTATGTTTCTTTCCAATGTATTAACACCTAAATCCCAAATTAAAAGGAAAAAAAAAAAAAAGATATTAGATGGTAAGTAAGTTGTTCTGTTGAGAATCATTAATGTTTGAAATATCCCAACGATGGTGATTATGTGGGACAGCTGGGGGTGGGGCTGTTTTCACAGTGATTTGGTGGTGGGAGAAGAGGAAACAAACAGATCTTGAGCCATGTCAGGATTTATAGTATAACACCAATCTGCCTTGGCTACGTGGCAGAAGTTCATTACAAAGGTGAGCCATTGCACCTCTAATTTTTCCTTAGAAGGCAAAATTGGGAGTATGTGGTAAGTATAATTAGATGTTTCATATTACTAGGAATTTTGTAATCGGTTCCATTTCTCTTGCTTACTCTTTTAGCTTGTCTTTGGAGAGTTTTCTCTTGAATAAGTATTTGAGTTTGTCTGTGTAAAATGCAAAATACCTCAACAGTAATACAGACAGCCCTGTGAGGAAAAATTCTCCAAAAAAACCCTCTATCATGAGCTTTGTCCACTCTGCATAAGCAAAATTCATGTGGCAGTCTGCATCTGAACCTGCAGATGCATCTGCAGATCTGATGACTGCTTACCAGAGAACAAGAATAAAACCTCAAAATGTAGCTTCTCCAAAAAAGCATAGCAGAAAAGCAGTGGGCATTGATTACCCAAGGGTCTTCAGCCAGGAGGAGAAGGGGGTTCGCTTTTTCTTTCCAGTTTGCTTTTATTTAGCTTCATATTCTTCTTATTTGTTTTCTCAAGAGAGGTCATAGCTGTTGGGACTGGTTAACTCCTTAGAGGCAACAACAGTCTTCATCCCTTCACAATCACTGTTATATGGCCTCCTGCCTCCAGAAGTGATGAGCAGCCAAAGCTTCAAAATATTAAAAACAAGGTTGTTCTCATTTTCTATGGATTCAAGCATGATTGAAAGGATCAGCTGAAGCTTTTTATTTTTATTTTTACAAAAGCACCACTAAAGAAGGCTGACAATAGAAAGTTTCAGTGGGAAGGTGTTTTTCTGGAGGTCAAATAGACCAGAGTTAAAGAACTTTTTTGGTTCTTGAGTGATGTCGTATACTCCGTGGTATGAGACATTGGCAAAAGTCTTAAAATTGTGATGAAACCTTCTTTCTGTGCTATGTAAGATTTGACATCAAATTTTACAGTGCAAACTTCTCTATCTGACTATATTAGTGCCCAGATGATGACAGCAGTGTTTTGTACTTCTAGATTCTCTGAAGAGGTCTTGAATGTGAACTTCTAGAAGTGATTAGCCATTAGTAACAAGAGAATGGTATTTTGGTACAATTTTTACCAGCAAATGAATGCTGAGAACAGCCTAGCTTTACCTGTAGGAACACCCTTCAGTTGCAATTGTTTTAACTTCTATGCATGTATAGGAAGCATAAGCAGAGTAGGAAATTGAAAGCTCAGCTGAGATCTTGTTAGGAGAAAATGGTATAAATGGACATCTGATGTAAGTTCTGAATTTGGCTTCAAGAGGCTGTTTCATTGAACTGTAGTCTGAGTTTATATTATTGGAGTAACATATTGTTTTACTACCATCCTATAGCACAGTGGTTTTTGTATTAGTGTTAATAAGCTGAGTAAATGACCAAATCTCTACATCTCTTTACTCCTGAAAACATCATTTTTTGGATATAATTTTTTCTGGACTTATATGTTACTGTATGAAGATGAAGCAGTTCGCAGCACAAGCAATGAGAACTGGTCATCTCTCATTTTAAAACCTCTGTACTAAGGAAAGAAGGAGGAGTTCTGGCACAGAGCCCAGCAGCAGGCTGATAAGATCCCATATTAATTTGCAGAGCTTATGTTACCTGTCCTGCAGGTTACATGATACATTACACGTTGATGAACTGGACATTTCATCAGTTATGTTCTTCTGTCACTATGACAGAGTTATGAAAGGAATAGCAAACATGCATTATCTATTAGAAAATCCATCAGGATGTCTAAGAAAATTTTTGTGCATTTAGTAGATATAAATGCAGTTTTGCACAAAAACAGTTGGAATCTCCTAAAAGTAGTGATGTTCTTCCTTAGTTTCCAATATCAGGAGGCTGCTTATTTATCAGAGTGCAATTGCTGATTTCTTTTTCAGAATCCCACTTAATGTGAGAGACATTGTCTACTGTACAGGAGTTTCACTGATGGATGAAGATGTATGGGAGTTCATTTGGATGAAATTTCATTCTACACTAGCAGTTTCTGAGAAGAAAATATTATTAGAAGCCTTAACTTGCAGTGATGACAGAAACTTGCTTAACAGGTACAAAAAATTATGTACAGATTTCTATTTAAATTTTCATGTTATTTTATTAATAAATATAAAAAATAAAATATTTCATTTCTGAATTGTCTTATGTTCATTAGCAATGTTTGAAATCTTACAATTTTTTTTTTTAATTTTGTTGGTATACTCTTTTTGTAAATGTATTGACCAGTCTGATCTTATTGATTTCATAAAACTATACATGGAAGATTCTACTCAGCTTTTACTGAAATATTTTGCATCCCTCCAATTATGCTATCTTTAGAAGTACCGACATTCAGTACCAAAACTCAAGATTCATCTGATTCATAGATGTGTCTGGTCTTCAGAAATAAACCACAAAACTTACTTGGAGACTTAAACAAATCATTTGACAGTGGCTATTTATTTTCAGAGCTTTTAGATATGCTGTTTTTAGAGTATGTGTTGACTGAACTAAATAGGATTTTTTTTCATTTTTTTTCCTGCCAGACTTTTGAATTTGTCTCTCAACTCAGAAGTTGTCCTGGATCAGGATGCAATTGATGTGATAATCCATGTTGCTCGAAATCCACATGGAAGAGACCTTGCTTGGAAGTTTTTCCGAGAAAAATGGAAAATATTAAATGCCAGGTAAATATAAAAAAAAAAAAAAAAAAAAAAATTATGTTCATTTTCTTGTTTTTGTGTAGTCTGTGTAAGTATTGTATGTGTATATATTTATGTATGTATGTTCCTGAACCAAATCCATTCTCTTTTTCTATGTATAGAAATGTATGTAAATATGAAATACATACATGTAAGTGACAAATACATTTATTCTTATCACACCTAGAAACATTTCTCCCTTAATGATCATCTGTATGTACATCTATTACTGTACTGTGTCTGTGTTCTGTGCTTAAGATAATGAATTCTGCCTGTGTGTCAAATTGCTGCAATTTTACTTCTACATAGATAAAAAAGCAGGAGTTCCCAAAGGAATTTAGCTGGTTTTAAGTCTGATAGAAAAAAATCTTTTCGAGCACAGTAGTTCAACTGCCATTGAGGACGTGGAGGGTAGGGAACAAAGCCAAACTGTTTTCTGTTTTCAAAAGGATTTCTGATGCTTTCCTTCCATGCTGTGTTTCAGTTGAGTTCTAAGTAACTGAAGAGCAACATTTGGAATTAAATATAAATGAGCAGGAAGAAGATGGGTTTGCTCCTTATACCATGAGCACTATGAATCCTTTGAATATGTGCAACATGCTCCTACTCAGATGCGTAGTGAATGTTTGAAATTCATTTTTTGATGAAGATTTTGATATTAATTCAATGAATAAGAAGTTTATTTAGTTATTTATGAACAGCCAGATGGTCTGAAAGATTTCACAACTCATGCTGACAGACTAGAAAGGACCATAGCTCAGATGAAGCTGAAGTTCTCAAAAGCAGATGTCCAAGAAATTAGGACCTCAGGCTAGGCCACCCTCATGGTTTTGGTAGATATTGCCAGACGAAATAGGAGAACTGTTCTATTCTGGACCCATGGGAAGCCTTCTGTTGTACCACAGAGTATTTTAAATGATGCATTTAAAATGCTGTTTTTTATTAACTAAATCCTTCTCCTTACTAACTACATGCATGAACTTCCAATGTTTCATATAATCAAAAGAAGAGCGAAGGAAACTCAGAAACTATGCAACTTCCCCAAAAATTAAAAAACTTGTTCATGCTGTTTTGGATGATATTTTATAGGTTGTAGAGGAAGTTTGGCTAGGAAAGCAGGTTTAAGCTGAAATTTGGTTTGGGGAATTTACATTGCAGGAGGATATTTTGTGAAAGCTGTAAGACTACTAAGAGTTTAAAAATTAATAGTCCTCCACTGCTGGTTTGATTATTCTAGAACTGGACTTTTACTCAGAAAGTTCATGGCAAAACCATTATTATTATGCAACCCAGTGCAATTTAATATGCTCAGAGTAGTATTTTTTCTTCCTTCAGGGATTCGTATAGGGATTCATGTCTAAACTATTTGGGCATAAATTTGTCAAAATTTGTATTGGGTACGTTCATCTGACAGCCTAGCTAACAGCTGTGGTATTAGGCATGGTCAGAGTTAGATGGTGTAGACAAATGGACTTAGAAAACAAAGTTCGATGCCAGATTTTTTTTTTTTTTTTTTTTTTAGTGTGTTTTAATTTTTGATAGCTTATCTGTGCTTAAAATTGTAATTTTACTTATCTCTCTTGGTAAGTATTGCTTTTTTTCTGAGCTCATAGCAATCAGCAAGGCCTCATTGAAAACCTTTTAATGGCCTTTTTTTTTTTTAATGAGAAAATAACAAAGTCTATCTCTTTGCCCAACACTGACTTTGTATTTCATAAAGAGTTTGATCTCCAAACACTGTTCAGAATCAACAAAAGGACTGTAGCAGTTGCCCTTCGCCCTGTGCATTTTTTTCTGTCAGGGACATCCAATGGTGTTTCTATAATTGCCGAAGGATTCAATGCAGTGGTGTGAAATGCTTCATACAAGCTGCACTTACACAGTGTTTATTGAAAATAACTTCAATTTGTAATTACAGATTAAAATCTTCCACGAAAGTATTTCAGAATGAGGAATTGTTCTAATGCTTTATTCCTTAAAATATCCAGTGAAACACATAATAAAATGCAGAATTAAGCTTCTGATTTAAGCTTGCTACACTACTACATTTTTAAAATGCAAGCTTTATTGCTGAATTATAGCTCAAGTGTACTCTGTCTCAAGACATTTTTTTCTACCATTATAATTAATCATTTAATTTTATGTAAAACTATAATACTCTGTAATAAACATTAATTTAATAAGGTGATATCTCTATGGTATTTTCCATTGAATTTACTAGAGGAGATGTTGATGTATGAGATAATAAGAAATAGCTGAGGGCAATAGAATTATGCTATAATGATATTTCCTTTAACTTTAAAACACCGCATATCTGGCTGTCATTCCAACTCTTTGATAATGTCATCCCTTCTTATTTATACATCATGCTTGTATTCACATTGCACGAAAGATATCAATAATGTCTGAAGTCTTTAAAAGCACTCGTTGCTTTTACATAGGCTACCTACAAATTAAGGTGCCCAGTCTTTGTGAGAAGTCAGTGGGAGTAAGTCTGTAAGGATTTAAATTCTGGAAAAGAGAACTGAAAACATTATGCTCAAGTTTCTATTACCTGAGCAATTGGACTTCTAAATTATTTTGATCATGCGTGCACATAGTGTCTGTGTGTGAAAATTGACAGCCACCTATAGGAATTCCTCCTTTCCTTCGTGAGTCATTTCTCAATTTTAGGTAATTTGTCAATAACTGGGAAACCATTTACATCTGTCCAAAGTAGATGGAATATGCTACTTCTCAGTTTCAGTTCAGACAAACACAGAGCCTTTACAATTGTAAGGAGTCAGAGGATCGCTTCTGCAGAAGTAAAGGAGCAGGTGGAGAGCCCCTGACTCGGGAGCTGAAATGCTTAAGGTTTTGCTTCTACAGTGCTGTTGTTTTTTTCATGAAAAGTAGAAAGACTGATATTTGCAAGATTTCTCACATACATGTGTGTATTTTTGTTTCACACTTGCAAGATGCCATTTTAGGCTGTAGCTTTACTGTAATTTTTACCATTAGAGCCCATTTTATAATTGCTATTAGTGACTGACTTTGTAACAAATATACATAATGGTCAGTTCTACATGAAGTTATAGTTTTCAGTGGAAGGAATTTTGCTACTTTTTGTTCACGCTGTGGATTCAGTAGAGAATTGAAGAAAAATAAAACCCCCCAAATGGTTTTTATGAGGTCACTTCTGTAAAGTGGATTGGTAACCTTGTCAAAAGACTCCATCAAAAGGAGGTTCCAATTTTCCAAGCAGTCAATTATGATTCTAAACTGAGAACCTAATAATAAAGGCTTTTCCTTTGTTAGGAAGCCTAAACTTGCTTAAAGGACCATGAAATCCATACTTCCCATAAGAGGTGTTTGCCTCTGGATGACTCCACACACTAGTGTGGCTGAGGTTTTAAAAAGAGACATGTACTTTCTGAAATATCCATGAGTAATTCAATTATTAGTGCTCATAGAATGGGATTTTTGATCCCTGCACCAGGGTTTCCCTTCACACAAGCTCAAGATAGAGAGAAACAAGGTATATGCCTTCCTCAAAACAGAAATTTCTCAAAAAATAGCATTTCCCTTCTCTCTCCCTCTCTTAATCCTCTCCCCATGCTGTCCCTTTCCCTTTCTCTCTTCCGTTTTGGAAGGACTGTCCGGCTTACAGTAGCCAGGTATGTAAGAGTAATTAATTTCAGGCTAATAGAAGCAGAACAGAAAGCTGTGACTGTGCTAGTTCATTTCATTTTGAACTTTGAATTCCTCAGTCATTTTGTAAAAGCAAGGTGTGAACTGAATTATTCCCTCAGAGAAACTTAATTGCAGTGAGGTCTATTGGCATTATTTCTGCATGTCTGACAGGAGAGCTGAATTCCATATCTTCAAAACAGTCATGTTCAAATTAGCTACATATTTCTTTGGATATATGTGCAGATAAAGATAAAGATAACTATTTGTGAAGTGCTTCTTGCTGTGCTGAATGACAGCTAACTTGAAAAGAATTGCTTTTGGTTTACAATGAAATTGCATACACCATACTGAAGACATTAGAAAAAAAAAAGAAAAAAAAAAAACAAAAACAAAAACAAAACAACAACCCACAGACTATTCCAACACATGATGCAAAACTTCAGGTGTAATACTGTTTGAGTTGCTTTGTTTGAGAAGCTGAAAAAAGCTTGTGGAGAACAAGATGGAAGGATAGTATTTGAATGGCCAGTTTCAAAGCAGCTGCCCACAGAATGCCATTGCTGATTGTTATTGAGCATCCTACCCAGCTACAAATCAGCTTTTAAATATTCATTGCCCAAACTTTTGAATTTTCATTGACAAGTTGATTCTTTGAAGATGCTACATGATAGCCCAGGGGATTATTTTAGCACTATTATTTTCTATCAACATTGTTTATTTTAATTATCTGGTACTGGAACAAGAGGATTTGATTCAGTTCACTTATCCAGTGGTTAATTGTAATGCAGGTGACATGGATAAATGGAAAACACATTTAGCTTCAGCACTTCAAAAGTCTTTTGTGATGGTAGAGCTAGGAGGGCTCCTCAGAATATTTCTCCATAGATGCTGTTCTTCTTCAATAGTGCTTGTATTTTGAGCTGCTTGGTGTCATGATGTGGAAGGCTGTTTTGTTAAACCTGGGATGTTTTCCCAATTTGGTCCTCTCCCTCCTTTGGAAATCTCATCTGTGGCTGGGGTTAAGCCCATTCTGCTTAATAGTGGCTGACTAAAAGTTATCTACTACTGTCTTGGATCTCCAGAATAGATCCCATGTCCTCTCCCTTGCGTAACAGAAGACTACTTTCTCAATTTCATCTGGCCTGTCTTTTGCACTGACTTCATGCGTCTTCTTTGCCCTTGCAGGTATGGAGAAGCATTATTTATGAATTCAAAGCTTATCAGTGGAGTCACAGAATTCCTTAATACCGAAGAAGAACTAAGAGAGGTAATTTTTGAATGACTTCCAGACCATGAGGCTGTTTTTATTTTAAGGATAAAGCAGGGCAGGAGCAAGAATGTGTTAGCAGCTGCTAAGGTCAGAGAAGCTGTAAAGGACTGTCTTTTTCACTTTTTAACCCATAGAAAAGCTGTTGAAAATAAGATTTAAATACACAAGGTGAATTTGGCATCATCAGGAAACAAAAGTTTACTAATTGTGAATAACAGTGGCTAAACCTACCTGATTGTGTACAAGTCAGTATAACTGGCAGTGTACTGTGCAGAACAGCCTTGCGGCTCTCACTTAAAAAGAACAGTAATTCAAAGCATACCAGTGCCATCAGCTATAATAGCCCAGAGGCTAGGATTATAATTTGAGTATACATGAGAACAGAGTAGAGACCTTTCCACTTTGTTGAAAAAAGATCAAAGTTTTATCATAAGGGAAAGAATCTGTTTCAGGCTTTCATCAAATGCACACTACTTGCTTTGTTGCCATTCGCTTCCCTCTGTAACCAGCCACTCCTTTTCTAAACAACCAATTTACATTATATCATCAAAAGGATTCTGCAAATCAATTTGGTAAATAAACACTTGAAAGAAATTTGGTATAAAATTTGGTTAAACCAAAGGACATCAAGGCTGCATTCTACTGACATTTACAGATAAATCTGGGTTAGAGTCTTTTACAGTGCTTCCAGCTAAGTTTTCTAGGTAAAAATATAAGTTCAGAGCGGACCAGCTGTCTATGCAGTGCAGCAACTGGGCTACAGGAGAGAAAGAGGAAATGGTGTTGTGATCCAACACTGACATGTCAATACCTTCCAGTGCCATTTGAAGCATTTACTTCATATATAATTGACAATCTACTGTCTTATTACATTTCCTATTAAATCCTTCTACGTGATAGTACATATACTTCAGTAGTGATTACATAGATTTGTCCTAAATGCTTGACTTGTTTATGTGAACTGGAAATCTTTGCTTTCTTTAGTTCTTGCAAATTTAACTTGTTAAATTGTATTTCCAGCTAAAGAACTTTATAAAGAGTTATGAGGAGGGAGCTGCTGCCTCTTTCTCTCGTGCTGTGGAAACAGTGGAAGCCAATGTGCGGTGGCAAAGACTTTATAAGGAAGAACTATTCCAGTGGTTAAGAAAATCCTTGACACACTAATCTGTCTTTCCAGCTGAACTTTTAACCAGAAGCACTACAAAAGGAAAAGAAGTTTAAGAAGTGATCAGCATTAAAATCATGAAGACAAGATCAAATTGCAGGGAGTTTTCTTTTTCCTTTTTTTTTAATTATGGGTTGTTTTGTTTGTTTGTTTATTTTTTACACCGGGCTGTTTTGAAACTGTCAATAAGCTTTTCAGAAGAAAAGGTCATGAGTGCTTGTGAAATCTGATCCTCAGTGTACACAACCAAACATGATATTAAGTGGTGCATGTAAATGTTGAAGAAAAACTAGCAAAGAAAAAACCCTTCGAAGACTATTTTGTGCATGCTTTTACCGTCTCTGCCTGTATTCTAGCATGCTTATGTATAAGAGCCACATTTTATATGTGAATTCCAGTTACGTCAAAGATGGGCATTGTACAAAGCACAAAGACTTCTCTACGACAATCAGTGTTGCAATGAACAAAAAGAAGGGAAGGAAGAGGAAATGCAGAAGGATTCCATCTTAGGGCAGTATGAGATATAAATTCAGCTTTCCCACTAGCTGCCAATTACTCCACCATTTAGACTGTCTTTTGATTGTCACAAAGGTGCCAGCTCATTTTTTGAGTTGCTAGTTGTTGTAGCTGCAGTTTCCATATTCCCGTATTTAAATTATCATCTTGGAGGGGAAGAGAGAGAGAGAAAATGAGAGAGAAGGACGTCATTCATTCATTCATGCGCTATAATTATAAATTTATTCACTGCTGATCAGTGAAACCGTGTAACTTTAGCTGTGAACATAGTCAGTTTCTATGAGGAGAACTTTGCATTGATTTTATAGAATCCATGAATCACTTCTTCTGAGCAAATTTACAAGGCAGAGATATTCATGATGGGTCACCTAACCTGTGCAGTAATAACTTACACAGCTGATAATGCACAAATATTGTAAGTCGACATAGGATTTAAATGGAAATTAGGAAAAGAGGAGAATATCTTCCATTCAAAGACACAAAATTAACCAACAGCTGTCTCCATGCAGTAGACCAGCCTCGGTAGTGGTTTACTAACAGACAAATCCTGTGCTCTATGTGGGCAGTGTCTTTGCAAATATGGGTTGTGCCATTTATGCCAACTTAGAAAACTGAAATATGGAGAAAGAAATGTGTGTGTATTCATATAGGATAGTACCACACAAACACGGTTTTTCTCTTTCCTTGTATTTCACATAGAAGTGTTCTAAATGGGTGATACTTTTCTTACTCGCTTGTTTCTTTTTTTCTCAGTTTTTAATTTGAGTGGTCAGTGATGAATTGGAAATTAGTTGCACAGTGCCCATCTGCACCATTGGTGCTATTTGATGAGGACAAAACTGATTCATCTTAGGGTCAAATGCTCTCCTCTCCGCCATGGAGGAAGATGAACAAGCAGAAAATTAATAAAACTACTGAGTCTACAGGAGGCAGGTTGCAGCAATTTCAGAGGGTGGTTATAGATGTATAAAAGTGTTTCTTTATCACAGCCCAGTCCATTACAACCATCTGATCACATCATTGCCTGTATACTGGAAACATGTGGTCAGACAAATTAGAGGACACACATTTTATCGTGCTGTTTCCTTCACAGGGCATGGAAATTATCAAAATGTTTTTACACTATCAGTTTCTTAACTCTAGTGAGTTGCTTGTGAATTGAAATATTAGTGCAAAAAAGATCCAAAACCCAGCATCTTCATTTATTAGATTTATTAAGTTGTGTGGAGACAGTATTGATTTCTGGGCTCACATTCCCATGCCACTCTCTCCCTCAAGAACTGGTAAATATCTCATAACTAAGCTGTCCTACCACTATCATGGGCCTATCACCCATTTTGAGCCTCTTATTTTGTGTTATTACCAGGGTACTCTTTGCAGACTAAGTGTATAAAACGCTTGGGTGGTCATCTGCTCCAGGGTACGTTAGCTTGACCACATACAACGAAAAGAAGGGGTAATCCTGTTCTCTTGTACTGTTAACTCTTTGCCTTATAGTAATCCCTAAACCTCTGTGCTGTGTTGCAGTACTAGTGAACCTAGTGCCCAGAGGCATTATTGTGTCCATGTTGAATTAAATCCTCTTCCTCCTCCTATGTATTTTACCTACCTCACAGGCATGTTGTGAGGCTTGACTAATGTTAGCAAAGTTCTTGAATATCCTCTAAAGAAAGGCATTTAAAAGTGCTGAGTATTATTTTATGTGGTTGACCAAACTCAGCCTCAGTGCCACTATGTAGCTGTCACACTTTTAATTTCTACTGAATGAAATTGTATGTGGATTTATTATTATAAAAAAACAAGCCAAATACTCTTTATATTTGTAATGAAGCCCGAAGTTATAATCTCCAAAGAGTGCACAGAAAGCCAAGCACTCAAACATGAGTTACTTTGGGGATTTCAGAGAAAAGAAAGTTGAATAATGGTTTTCCCATTTCAAATTCTGTTCAAGATTGTCTTTGATGACTTTTGTTTTTCATCACCACAGACTAAGCCACATACCTCCAGACTGCACATAGAAGTTTTAGGCCTTTCCACTGATAAAAGGCAAACTAACAATGCATTTCAAAGTTGAAAATTTAATTCAGCCTGTGTATACTGCACAGTGCGCAGAAATTCCCATTGTTGTTCATTAGAATTTAAGTTCTTGCACATTTATCTAGTTTTGGATGCAAATTAATATTGTAGTGGCCTTGAGCAACTGGTCTATCACAAATTTTAAGCCCTACATGTATTTATTATACATACCTATTGATGTATTGCTTATAATTGTTGTATTATAATGATGTTTGTATTACAGCTCTAATTAAGGTTGACTTAGTCTTTCCATTGTAATTCTCTATTCTTTTTATATTTTTTATTTAAGCTGTTTCACACTGAATCAGGATGAAGTTTAAATGGATTAAATCCAACAAAATTGTAGCTTTTTTTTTTTTAATAGTTTTTTACAATATTCAATCCCCCTGTATTTAATTATATGTCTTAAGAATTTTTTTTCTGTAGGAAGTTTCACACAGCTATGTGTTAAAAGGATAGTTGATACCTCATGGGAAACTCTAATAGTCTTCTTTAAAAAAAAAAATCTATTTATCTGATTGATATTTTTTCTCCTTTACCAGTCCTTTTCTTCCTTTGTCCTCATTTAAAGATGGGCACATTTTTATGGTTTGGATTAGGATTAATAAACCAAATACCCCAAACTTCTTAGCATTTTCAAATACAGTATGTAAATCTGTTCTTTTTTGTGAGAGGAGATGCTGCAAAATGTGAAACCAGTGTGGATGTGTCCCTTATTCAAGCTTAGAAGTCATTTTATAGAGATTTGATGAGGCCTTTGCAAGACTTGAGATTCCTTGCACTTACTAATTCTTATAGCTTACTAAATCATATACAAAGGCATGACACGATGTTATGCTGTCATAATAATATGGCAACCTTTGTACTTCTTTAACACTGTCCACTACAAAAATTCTCAACTTACTACTTTGTAGCTGGTAGAAATACTATTCTTATATCCTCTGCTGACAGCTATTGAAATGATAGTTGCTGCTAATTGTGGCTAGAGCAGAACAATGAGGAAGTTTGCTTCTGAAATGAAATGTCACTTCTGCCATTACTGAGAGTATTTTGAACATTAAGTTTGACTGATTTAGATGGAAAAACTTCGTATGTATTAAGTTCTTTCAAATTTGTGACCTTTGATGATCTTTTCACTGAATATAGCAAGAACTCTGATACTATGATGGGAACTGCAGGTGTATTTTATGTAGCTTTTTGGCTGTTGTGGATATTTCATTGATTTCATTGGGTTTTAGAGTGTCATAGGAAATATCACCACTGATGCAGAGAGGACTTTTCACAGCAAGGATCTTAAACCATACAACTAAACCTAAATCTAAATAGCAAAAAATAAAAGAAGAAAATGTCAGGTGTATGTATGTATATGTGTGTGAAAGGTCCTCTGTAGAGATAATTTTCCCATAAAATGTTAGTCAGTCTAATTCTTTGGATAGAATAGAGTGGATATCTGATGAAGAGGGTGGCTTTGTTTAAGTACCTGTGTAATAAGATCTTTGTTTTCCGCATGACCATAGTCTATACTGCAGTCAGAGAAAATAGACTGAGTCAAATGTGAAACTTTCTCTTTGAGGAAAAGCGATGTGTCTTTGGAAACTGTTTATGTATAAAACCAGTTTACCGCCACTTCTGATACAAGTACTTAGCATATCAGGCCACCTGTCCTAAAGCAGGGCTTATAGCCACAGTGTCAGTATGAGTGTGAAGGAGTAAAAACACTGTCCTGTTGCTAAGCAGCCTGAGTACAGGCTGCTCTCCCAGCCTTACGTGGAGCAGCCTGAAAACTGCACTGCCCATGAGCCTGCCTGCATCAGGAGGGCAGCTGGAGTGCAAAGAATCTCAATCCAAGTTTCTGTCAGCTAGATGGCAGGGACAGAAGGTCTCTGCTGGCTATGGGTTGTGGATGGTCTTCGGAGATTTGCATCATTGCCTTCTGTGACCTTGGAAACAGGTCCAGCTAGTGAGTCTGCATTGAATGGAAAAATCCAAATCCCTGCACTGCAGCCACCGCAGCCGGAAATTGTTGACCAAAATCTTTGTAAAGATCTCAAATATTGTAGTGTCTGTTGTTGAGAAATCATTTCAAACAGTCAAAAAATACATTAAATTTTCAAATATGCATAAGAATGCAGACAATCTTTATGATATTTTTTGTTAATATTGAGAATGTGCCATGAGTTCAGCCCATTTTCTAACATAGGATTTGGAAAGATGTTACTACAAATTCTTTGTGCTTGTAATAGTACTTACTGTACTAATACCACCAAAAAATTCAGGTGTCTTACAAACGTGTGACACTGGTATCTGTGCAGTTCCCTTTTTACATGTAAAACTTTAAAAAATGAGCCATTTTATTTCTCATGCAACTACAGGAGCCTCTGCCTATCTTCTGAAATCCAATAAAACCACCTTGACTTGAGTGAGCGGTCCCTCCTGACATAAGGAATTTATTTTTCAAAGAGAATGAAGGAGAGGAAGGCAGTGTTGTGCATGAAGATTTTTTACTGAAGTAAGGCCATATGCCCTGGTTGGAGCAGAATTTTAATGTCAAGTGTGTTTTGAAGAATCTGGTGGATCTGGAGTGCATCTTATGTCTTCATGCTGGCAGTGGAAGGCAGCTTCACCACAGTATACACTACATTGTAACCCAGTTGAGGTCAGCTTGTATAAAACACTTTCTATGTGGAATGGTTTCAGTGTGACTTTGTGTTTAAGGAGAACCACCCATATGCACAAGTTCTGTGGATTCGGAGCTGGTGTCCTTTCTCTGAAAACAGCATTTATACTTTCCTGATTCGTATTGAGTGATTAAGTGTGGAGTGGTAAAGAAGTATTGCTGAATACTTCGCTTATTTTATGTACACTATTTATAATGGAGTGATGTTGGGCAGCATGTGGATGGGCAGCGCTGTAAGAGTATGCAGTGCAGCCGGGGTGTGAGCCACAAGGCCCTAATGTTTCCTGCTCAGCATTGTGTGGGTTTGCCTGATGCAATGGATGGATGTCCCTGATGCAATGTGGGAGGCCAAAAATTGAGATGCAGTATCTGTTCTGTGCAATCCATTTTGATGCAGGTAATTTGTTCATCTCTGTAATTTCAAAATGAAGTCTCACTGAACTGATGGCACACGTGTGGCCATGGCTCCTCAGACAGCGCAGCATGAGATAGATCCCTTGAAGTGACCAATGTGAACTGCAGCTGAGGATCTAACCCTTTGCTGTCAGAGCAGCCCTGAGGTGCCTGCTAGGCTGGTGTACAGACTGATTCACATGTTTGTGTGTACGCTTCAGTAGCACGTGTTTGATGACAGATTTTTTTGTTTAGTCTTTCCTTTGCTTTTTTTTTTTTTTTTTTTAATTAGAGTAATACTTTGCGATTGATTCCAGTGTGATAAAGCTTTATAATAAGATGTTCGGAGAACTGCGGAATACTGTATTGTGAAGAGTGTGGCAATGACCCTCTCTTTCCTGCAAACAGTAGATTTCAGCAACAATGAAGTTCCATGGACGTTCTGTGGAGAAACATTCCAAGCAGTTCCTAACGGAAACATCATTGTAATTACTGTATAACTATCCTGTACAAAGACA